GGAGAGAATAAGAGAGAATAAGATTTATCACAATTTGCCGTCAAAAACATTAACTACATACTTAATTATATAAAATCTCATTTTATTTGTTATATAATATTGCAGTATACATCAATCTTGATTTGTATTTGTAAAATTAATAAAAGTAGTTACGAAATTCCTTTTTAAACAACTACTTAGAAAACTATTATCTCTGATTCCCTAGATTTTTTTTATCATTGTTGAAATTCCTTTTTAAGCAACTACTTAGAAAACTATTATCTCTGATTCCCTAGCTTTTTTTATCATTGTTGATTGATCGTCTTTGCTTGAATTTTGAATTTGTCTTTTTTGAGATTTTTAGTTGATAATTAAAACCAGATTCTCTGAATTGGAGTGTTTAGAAATTTAATTTCTTCTTTTTGTGATTGAATACACCTGCAAAATATTCCGGCTAACCTTGTTCGAGTGGTCGACCCTTGGAACGAAACCTTCGATTTGGTACTCGGTAATAACATAATTTGCTACAAATTTACATATATATACATTTACACACACACACACACATATATATATATATATACATATGTTAAATTAAATATAGTGTGACATGTTTTCTTTACAAAATAATTTAGAAAATTTTGGGTGACCTTACATCTTTTAATAATAATATACAATATTTTAGATACTTTTACATATGTTATATAATACTGTAGACATTTTTAATATTTTAAACATACATTTTTTATGTTATTTATAGAAGATAATTTTATATTGTTAACAATTAACTAATATACGGTAAATTATCCCACATATTAACCCCACGTATTTAATTTATAATTATTATTTAATATTTTTTTATTTATATATTTAATTTATAATTATTAATTAATATTATTTATCCTCACATTTAATTTATAATTATTATTTAATTTGTTTATCTATGCCTCGTACGCACTAGTTTAACTTATAAGTCTTCTCCTGAAATGTTATAATCATAAGATAATTAATTAAATTTAAATTAAGTAATTAACCTAATCTATATTTTTTTCCATAAAATCTCGGCCCAAGCAGATTCCCAAGCAGCCCATTTCGGTCCTCATTTTCAGCAGCAAGCTTCCCATATTTAAGCTAGGGCAGAACTTCGCCGGCCCTAGATCTATTTTCCAAGCCTCCCGTCCAAAATTTTTCCCATATTCTCTCCATCTCTACCCTCGGCCAATCAACATCACCGGCGGCTGAAGAATTTTCCGGTGAGGCGAGAACACACGAGCATATGGCCGATAGCCACCAGATGCGGCTAACAAAAGCTGGCCATTCACGGCTGAGTGCTGGCCTTAGCCGCGGCCAAGCAGATCCGAGCCACATGCGACCGAAGAGCTTCAGTTTCCGGTGACCTCTTACCCTTGAGTCGAGCCCTTTTGATTTTCGGTTGAAGGTAGAACCCGAACCTCGGTTTTCTTATTTATTTCATGCCGAGAATTTTACCTAAAATTTGATAAAAGAAAGAATCAAGTTGTTTATTAATTTTAAGAGAACTGTAACGCCCCACTTAATTTTAAAAGATTTATCAAATTTATTTAATGAAAATCAGAGTTAATTTTTCAAAATCTCGATTAAGTTTAAAATTCAAAGGGCGCTACTTATTTACCAAGAGCAATTTATCCAACACACAAGAAGATCAAAATGAACCAACACATTTGTCAAGATTCAAAATAACAATAAATAACAGCATAAAACCCAAGTATTCAAATCCGTCCAACTCTTATCCAAAATCACTAGTTCAAACATAATCAAATAAACCATAACAAGTTCATAAATGCGGAAGTAAATATCAGTCTTAAACAAAAGCAAGACCACCCACTCGTCTTGCCTCGTCACCCGCCAACTGCTTAACCTGCATCCGTGAAGAGCAGGTGGGAGTGAGTACAGTTAAATATCGTACTCACACTATGCATATGAATAACATAACAATGGTATGGTCGCATCATGAACATAAACAATAATCACAACATGTCTCATCTCCTAATCAAAATCACACCATTTAACCTTACTCCTGTGCACATCTATCGCTAGCCGCAGAACGGGGATTCATTACCCGAAGGCGGGAGTACGTGCCACTGTAACAGACACGGCCTTCCATATGGGCTTACGTACCTCACAAGGGCACGGCCATATCAGGACTTAAAGGAGATTGCCACACAAGGGCACCGTACCGTAACTCGACGGGGACAACCGTACCGACGGCCGTAACAGCTCACATCGATAGGCTACATGTTCACATGCATACATAGATCATACCAAATTTTCCACACATCTAAATCACACATATGCATAGATAATTTTAGTATAACAACCCACCTGGAAATCGAGGTAGGATATCACACTGAAATAGCAGATGAGTAGGTCGAGGGCTCGACTCCTCAAACACCTACAATTAAGTGATATAATACATCAATAATCTATCTCACTACTCGAATTTAACATAAAACCCACGCTTAATCAAAATTAAGGGTTAAAGGATTTTATCGGATTTTTCGTGGACTTGGAACTCTCGCATTTTTAAAAGAAAAGTCTCGGAGAACAAAAATGGAGTCTCGGGACTTAAAATAATTTTTCTCAAATTTTTATCATTTCGAAAATATTTTTAAAATTGAAATCGATATTAATAACGGGCTTCCGAAATCCAAAATTTAGCTAAAAGTCCAATGAGCCGCGAAATGGGCTTCTCCCACCCGAATTGGGCCGAGGTTTTGCAGAAAAAGGGGCGCACACAAGGCCTGTTAACAGGCTGGGCTCGCGGGCCTCGCGGGCCGTGGCTGCTGAGTGATGTCGGGCCGCGCGCGGGCTGACTTCGGGCCACACGGCCCGCGCGCCTAGGGATTAATCCTGGGCTGGGCGGAAACAATTAAAAAGAAAGCTGGGAATGGGTTTCGAACTCAGGACCAATGGCACAAAAATAGCATAACACACCACTGCACCATCTCGGTTGGTTGTGACTTAAAATAAACATAATGGCTACTAAAATTAAAACAGAAGCCTGCTATGGAAAAACTAAAATCCGAACAGAAAGACAGCGAGCAGGGGCTGCGAAAAAAAAATTTACAGAGCTGCTACAAACTTCGACTGAATTCAATGACCACATATCCAACGACAACCGGGGTTCGAGAACTCAATAAATTCACGAAAATCACAATTCACAGAATTCAAAAATAGTTAAAAAAAAAATCGGGTTTAAAAGAGTTGAATAACAGAACAACATGCTAGGCTTGAATGACACAAACACAACGAGACGACCCGGAAAAACACAACGAGACTCTGAATCTTATATGAATAATTACAGCAACATCATGAGTCGATTTTTACAAAACGAGACTTCCGATTTTCCACGAAATTTCATTATTCACAATAACGAACAATACGAACCAATAATCAACGAAAACGATTCCACGAGCTCGATTGAACCAACAATGATATACGGCACAAAAATAAAAATCAGGGAGTTCGAAAAAAAAAGAAAAAAAGGTTACCCGTCTTCGGGAATTTCGAGATCGGAAAACGGGACGGAGGAAGGGAAACGAACGGAACTCGACTGGTTCTAAGAACTCCTCGAAGGTGCTGCTCGGAAACTCGGCGACGGACGGAGTCTGAGGCTCGGCAACCAACGGCGGCGAACAGGGATGATGAACTCGCCGGAAACTGCGGTAGGAATTTCACCGAAACTGGAGTTGAGCGAGAGAGATATGGATAAAAGGAATGAAGGGAAATCTGGCTTGACCGAGTATAAATCGAGAGAGAGAACGAAGAACGACTTATCTGATTAATAGATGTGGGAATGAATCGAAAGTGAGGAAAATCTCACGAACAAATCGGAACAAAATTTTGAATTGTTGATAAGGAGCGACTTGGTCACGCGAAGGAGAAAGGGGAAAAGGAATCTGCCGATTGAATTCTCACGGGCCAAGGATATTAACTCTATTTTTGGGCCATATGGAATTAAATGAAAAGGTGGATCTTGGAGTTAATTAATCAATTGGGCTTGAATTAAATAGCACAAAAGGGCCAAAGGATTAATTGGGCTGGAACTTAATTACTCTTGGACTGAATTTTAAATTGGCATAAAAGCTGAACTAATTCACAATGGGCCAAAAATAAAATATACGCGATTAAATCGGAA